TCTCGTACGTAGAAGAAAATCTCTATGGTTTTTTGTACTTGTGTTTGTTGTATTCGTTGTTATTTGTTTCCCACAGTAGAATAAAAAATCAAGTAACAAGAAAAACGATTTTACAAACATTTGGGGATTTATCATTCAAAAAAATAAAACATTTGGGTTTTTTCTTAATGAGTTATGGTATTAAATCCAATTTTTTTAAGAAATAGAGATAGACATTCGAAAGTTCCAGTTAATTTATTGTATTAAGCAAAATCGCACATAACACCACAAACAAACAAAAAAGATGTTTACACCGACTTTTATATAAAAGGTGATGGGAGTAAGGCAAGTAATTGCAGAGGTCATATAATCCCTAAAATTCTTGACAAACATCCAAAATCCTAAAACTGTCGCCAATTTTTGTTTTGACGATTGTCCTTTCACAGATGTGATCTCTAAAGTTTTATAGTCATATACATATATCCCCATTATATAATTCTCCCTTCTAAATTTGCACTTTCAGTTCCACCGCTATCACTCTTTAAATATCAAAATTGAAAATCATTCAACATTAATATATTATATATTCATTATCAAATGATTTTTCATTTATTAAATCCAAAACAAACTAAGATCATGTCCTTCTTAAGCCAAGTTCTTAAAGCAAAATATATTAAATTTAAATAAAAATTGGTTGTATTAGTAAGAACTGATCTTTAGTTAAGAGATTTAAGAAGTGGTTTTTAGGTGTCACGTGTCACCCTTTGATTTGTGGATGTTTTTTTTTGACAAAGAGAAAAAATAAACGCGCGTATAACGCGTTTATTAAATGCAATATATTTTTCGTTTTATTCAATATATTATATTTATAAATTTTGAAAAAAATAAATTCTACTTAATAAAATATTTTCATATTTTTTGTTATTGGTAAGAATCTGTAATAGAGTTTTACAGAGAAAAAATTAAAATATACTATTAAATTTTTTTTTAAAACATGTTGATGTAAAATATATAATAAATAAATTGGTATAACTCCACCATTGAACATGCTAGGACCAATATAACCGATTTCGTTTTCATTGAAAATATCTTATAATCACTTTATGTTTTTATTTAAAATGTATATCATCAAATATCGGATGACATGATCGTAATGATGTAATAAAAAATTACTCGCGCAATTTTGGGTTACAATGTTAATTCTCTCAAAGGTAACTCTTCACCACATAAAACCACATTATTTTATTTCGTTTTCTTAGGACACGCAATTTAGTTCAGACAGAGCGAGCAGATCTCGACACGAACCCATCTCCACATGCACAGTGCACACCTCCTCTTTTACATATTAAATAAAAATATCTCATTTTGTAAAACTTTACCCAAATTAACAAATACCATACATGACACAAGATCACGATCTATACAGTGTACCCCTAACCGCCAATAATATAAATCATTCACGTATATATAACGTAAACTTGAGCAATCGCAAGGGATCATCATTTTGTTATAG